CTACAGGTTCATTGTATTATTGTTGCTATTCAAAGCAATAGCACCAGGAGCAAACGTTGAGTATAAAAACTAGAACATTTTAAAAGCTCCGTTTCACACAAAGAGTTCTCTATTTACAACCTTTACTCTCTTAGGCCAGTTACTTTTGCCTGTCATTGTTATTACAGTTTATCAGTCCTCCTTTGCAACAAGAAGTGATCAGTAAGGATTAAAGCTTTGTTCAGCTGCTCAGCCTCAGTGTTTTGTGTGTTTTTCTGGTGCTATGTTTCTTTATTTAAACTTCTTTGTCAACTCAGTGGATGCTGTGACTAATTTGGCTAATTCTGGAAGAAAGGATTACGCTTGGATTCTGCATTACTGTTTTGAGTCTCAGTAAAAAGTTACAATGAGTGAGTAGTCTGGGTTATGCAGACAGTTGGGTGGGATGGTACCTTCTGGCCTTCAAATCAGTGGGATCTGTTTGTTGCTGTATGATTCAGGCTTAACTTCTGAGCCAGTCCCTAACGTCTTGTACATCATTTTGTATGCAGAGCACCCCATACATTGCTTATGAATGGGTGTCTTGGATAAATGGGAAAGCTCCAAGTGGGGCTTTCACACAGAGACATAGAGATGTTACTGGGACACTGCAGTATTGCCAAGTTTTTCTAATTTAGGCAATTCTCACAGTAGCTGACTTTTTTTTTTAATAAAATTTCATATTGTTTTAAAGAAGAGTGACATTTATGATTTTTGAAGAAAGAGGAAATCTGTAGTCCTCACTGCAGAATAATGCTTGAAAAAGCGACTGCCATAGCTAAACACCACCTCCCCCTCCATCACCCAACAATGCAGAAAACAAAGAAAAAACCCCCCAACATTAGTTTCAAAACATTAAATCATCTAAGGAATTGTATAAGGGTCCTTTTAAGATTCTGTTTGCTCAGGGTAAGAAACCCCATAACTAACAGGTCTTCTGGTTTCCCTGTCCAGGTGTACACACAGCCATGGCCTCACTCCATCCAAGCTTGGGTGAACCATCATTGTACTGCAGCCTTCCCCATGCTCTAATTTCCAGGAGAAGGAAAACTCCTCATGTGCTGGCCAGAGATGAATTAGCAATTGTTTCCCTAGCACACAGGAGACCAGGATTTAGAGGTGTGCTGTAGCCCTGGCACAGCCTTTAGCTCTCAGATATTTAAGAATACCCAAGCAAACAAACAAAAAAAGGAACGATTTTCTCAGAATTCAAGCCTAACAGATATTGATTAATTAAACAAATAAAACCTAAGAGAATCTGTGCAACAAATAGTGCCCTGAGGTGTGGGTAGCCCAAGCAATGTGCTGGGCCAGTGCCTAAAAGTGACACAATCCTGCTGTCTGGTTTGGATGGTGACACAATCCTGCTGTCTATTTTGGATGACCTGATTTAATTGAGAGAAATGCAGAAAAGGAAGCATGCCTCAGAAAGAGTGACAGACCCATTCAACTGTTACAATGCCCTCTCTTCTGATAATCATGGCTGCTATTAATTGTACAGGTAAGAACGTATTTTTCCCTTAACCTTACATTGTTGTTCAGCTGAATTTGCTGCCTCAGAGGAAGTGTGTTTCTGTACAGAATCTGGTAAACAATATAGGGATACTTAAGGTCTGAAGAAGATGAAGCTTTCAACTAGGGTGACTACAAGTGCCCAGGAAAGGAGGGAAAGCAACTGTAAACTGCTCCCTCCTGTGCAAGCACCACGCCGGGACCAAGGTGAGAGGCAGTAACTCCTAAGAAAACTTTATTTGCTTGCTGAGCCAGGGCAGACAGCACCCCAGCACGTGAAGGAGGCCAACATGAGGAGAGGAAAGAACCTGGAGTTTTTCAGAGAAGAGCAAGAGGAAAATGTGTCTTTTTGAGTGGGAATTCTTTGTCAGCATTCTTTTGTGAGCGGCCCATTCAGCACCACTCTTCGCAAAGGGCTGACCACTCCACCTGTGTCTATGTAGCCTGTGTGTACAGTAATAAAAAATGCAGGTTTATGTGGCCTGCCGTGTGAGACAAGCAGTTTAGACGCTAGTACGTCACCACTTTCTTATCAGAGAACATTAGGTTTCAGACGATTTCCATTACTATTTTTATCCTTTATTGTGTGCAAATACACAGGGATTTTAATAATAGCAGTAACTTTAAATGCTGCTTAGAAGGCCAGAGAGCATGATGTCTTATTTTCACCAGTCCACCCAATGCTATTTTTACAAGTGAACCATATCGCTTGTACAGAATCAGAACAGAATTTTTATAAAGGCATTTTTTAAAGGATTGAATAGTTGCAATTGTTGAAGAAAGGTGCTTAGATACTGGATTAGGAATTTGCAGGATCAAAGTAGCAGTTAAGATGCCAGGGAACTCATCCAAATCACAACATAGCTGATATTCTTTAGGGAATACTGGGCTGTTTTGTATACAGCACTCTTGGCTCCAAGTAACTTAAAACCTGAAGAATTGAAATGATTACAAATATCGGGCTAAATCTTCCAAGGTGTTGAGTGCCCTCAACTCATGTTGGGCTGAATACTCTTTTACACTGTGGCCCTTTATGCTGTGAAGGCAATGTCAAAGGCATACAGCGGCAGTAAGTGCCACTGAAGGCCCCTTTACAGTATCGGCCTGTAGCAAAGTCACTTGGGTGCAATTGGGCATTCGGCCCATTTTCCTGACAACACTCAGCACCTTTGAGGTGCAGGCTGACAAAGGAGTGGCTCTGGCACGAAAGCTCTGTTATTTGTGATCTCAGTTACACAGACAATCTAGGGGATGGATTTGGTTTGGGGTTTTTTTGGTGGTGGTGGTTTGTCTTCTTCTCCTATTATTATCTAACCTATGAGAAGCGGTAGGGATTCCTGCTGGTCTGGTGCCTTGAGATCTAGACTGCAAATACAGGGCATGAAATTCACTCCATAACCTGATTTTAGTGCCAGTGCTCAGACTGAGTTCAGTGAGCTGAGGGACTCACCTTCATCTCTGATACACTAGAAGGTGCATCTGGCTGACTCCTGTCCTCTCTTGAGCTCTAGATGAGGAACAGTAACAACAATAGCAGAGCAGGTTTTCCCTTTCTGCAGACCCAGTAACTGATAGAGGAGCTGAATTCCCCTTCCACCTGCATAGCTGAAGCTTGAAATGATGCCAGACAACTGGAATACTTTATTTTCATATCATTCATGTGAATATTCAAATGTCCACTTAGAAACCTTTTTTGAAATTGCTCAGCTTTGGTGAAAGTTTTAAGAAGGGAAAAAAATGTGAAAAATAAATGGCATGAGCAAACTTTTTCAGTATTTTCTTTGAGAAAACTAGTTTTTGTTTTAGTGATACAAAAAGCTTGTCATTCTGGTTCTGATTCAGCCACCACAACAAGAAAATACAACTTGTTTTTTTTTCTCTGTTATACTAAACAGTAATAATTTTGCTGTCACCACAGTGGGGTAAGGAAGGTTTCTGAGGAGAAGATACTAGCTTTTGCCTTTAATTAGACCAATCATATGCTTGGAAAGGAGGCAAAGATAGGAAAATTATAATTCTTAAAAGCTATGTATGTAATGATGGTGTCAGTGTTAAAACTTCTCCAAATCTTGTATCAAACAATCTGTGGAAGGTCTTAGTGCTTTCTCCTTATTAATGTGTTTCATTTAGAGAACTTTGGGGTTTTTGATGTGAGTGTGGTTCCACTTGGTGTTCTAGAAGTAGGGGACTGATTTTAGGGAGGATTACACAGAATTTAATATGTGTATAAGGAAACTATTCAAATATGGTTATTGTATGCACATTAATAAAAAGTTTGGCTAACAGCAGAGGAATTACAAAACAGATTTGCTTTGATAGTAGTATATTAAGTTGTCATAAAACTCATGGGGAAAAAAAGTGGATTTGACTATGATTTCCTTGTGTTTATGGATGAGAAAGGATATTGCTTCATTTGTAGAGGGGTGTTTTGTATCCTTTCACTCTCCTGTCCCTCACACCTCTTCTTCCCCTTCACGCACAAACATTTCTACTTAAAGACAGATTTCAATCAAGCATGACAGAATGGTAGCAATATCAAAGCTTCGTAAGTATAGGTGAGGAAATTCTTTGAATTAAATTACCCCCAATAGTTTTCCATCACAGTGCCAATTTGTAATGGTCAAAGGCAGCAGCCTGCATGTTCCCATTGAAGTATTCTGCAGAACAGAGAGAAGGGCAGTAGAAGGTTAAATTTATAAATATTTGTGCTGGTAACAAAAATCTTGGCTAGAGACAATACAAATTAGATACAAATCAGGAAAACAGCTGTCATTAGTTCTGCTACTCATGGACTTACTAGAAGATGCAAATGGATGGTACAGCTGCATACAGATCCTACCTCTCCCTCTCCTGGTAACATCAACAAACGCTCCAGCAAATACATCATTCTGTGTCTTACTTCTTGGTTTCTGTCCAGCGCCTGTGGTGTCCAGCACTTACGAACCACCTTACCTCTGTTATCCTAGCATCTGATTTAGTGATACAGAGGGAATCGATCGCTTTTATCACTACTTGTGTGAAACACAACTGCCTAGGAGTGTTGCAGAAGTGCACAGCATCAGTTTAAGACAAGGTCTAAGGAATACCTTAGCCAGCTGGAATGCAGGAGTCTAGCCCACAAAGCCAAGTGATAGTCTGACTTCTGCAAACACGCCCTGGGATTGTTAGCAATCACAACTGGCAGGGGCTTGAGCCCATTTATTGTCTGTGTCATGACATCTCCGACAGTGCCACTGCTGGAGTACTGGTAAGGCTCTGACTCACTGCCATGCCACCTCTTGTTTCCCAGACCTGAGTGTTACTAGCATGTAAAGGTTGACCCATTCACAGAAGAACCATGTGGTGTGGCAGTGGGCCATATGTATAGCCTTGACTACAGTGCTCTTTCCAGAGACTGATTGTGGGTTTCTTGTTATCTAACAAGCTTGTCATTTCCTGTACTGGTTGTAACAGAGCTACATATTTTCTAGGTTACCTAACCAAACTTCTGCAAAATCATACTGCCTATGCCTGCGATGGGGAACATTTGAGTCTGCACTGTCCTCGGCATTCAACAATAAGTGTTCAGTCAGCATTTTACGGGCAAGACTACCACATGTGTAGTACTCAGGAGACTGAAACCAGGATAACAGAACCCATAAACTGTGTGGCACCCACTTCATTGCAGGTATTGCATGTTGTAAAGGTTCTTAATGCTCAGAATGCTTTTGACAATGTCCCTGCGGTGAGCTATGCTGGGTGAAAATGGCAGGTGTTCACAATATTGTATGAAATGACATCGTGTCTATGTCAGTTTACCATCAGAAGTATTACAACTGAAAGGGTTTGTCTGGCCAGCAGGATTTTACCATAGGATTGTGAAAGCTTTGTAGATTGCCTTCTATTTTGATGAGCCTTGCTTTGGAAACCCCATCCTCAGAGTTTCCTAAAAGAATCAATTCCCTTCTAATCAAGGGCTGGTCATGACTGAGCAGACTAGTCTTAATCCATCACACAGGCCCTCCTTATTGCCAGGAGAGGATACAAACATTGGAAGGAGCTGGGTTACAAACTGACGAATAAGATGGCATTCTTGGTGTTTGGCTTGTTCCGTGCCTTTTCACTTGCTGAAAAGGCACCATACAGCTAAACAGCATATCCTGAGCACTTTTGCAGATACCTGCATTTCTGTGAATCCATTATTTGATCAGCAATATCCTATGGTTTGTTTGCTGGGCCCACTTAAGTATAGCTTAAAATGATTTATACTTCATAAATTATTACTTTCTGCTTTGGAGACTTTTGTAACAAGGCTTAGAAGGTCTAACTTACATTGCTGTCAAAAGCTTGTTTCATCATACTGAAAATATCCAGTGTTAAGCCATATTCAGTAAAACATTACAAAAATGAGTAGTCAGAGGAATCTGAACATGTTCTGCTGGTGAAGCTGTTTTAAGTGCTCTACAGAAGCTTTGATGAAGCTTGCAACTTTTGTGCTTGCAGCCAACACATTGCTTCTTGACAATAGGGAATGTCTGTTCCCACCACTAGTGAGCTGAAGAGTTATACAGCGTGGTTTGGCAGTAATATCCTCTCTGCAGCAACAGCATTAGAGCAGTTTTATATGTGTGGCTTGCCCATGCTGTACTGCAACTTCTAAAGACATTCCAGACATGACCTACAGGCCATGTGAAAGTACATCTCTCCACCAAAAACAGTAGGCCAGATGCATCTTTGATGTCATTTTACTGACTACAGTGAAGTGACGCCAATGATTATTTTAGGCTTTTGAGTGCCTTTGTGAGGTCTCCATGGGCAGTTTTTTCCCTTGAATATAATAAACACAGCATGGAATAACTTCTGTATAAACTATCGTGATCATTCAGGCACTGTCACTGATCAAAGGCATGAAAGCATTTTGACAAGGCCACGAACGTGAGAGATACAAATGCTCTGCGTCTTAGGGATGCATCTCCTGTTCTGTCAAGGAGAAGGGATGCATCCTGTAAACTGATTTCTTAGAAAAGAGCACCAGTGATCTCATCCCTCCTCCCCTTCCCTTTGGAACTGCATCTGCAGTCTGCATAATTGGCCATGATGCTACCCTGCAGCCAGGAGGAAGCATAACAGGCATGTTTTACAGTGACCTCCTATTAGAAGAATCACTGCAAAGTTAGATCTGTTTCAAGATATTAACAGCCCAGTGCTATCTCATTATGAGTATCATTGTTTGCTTTTGTGCACAGCAACATGATAGAAAATGTGACTGCTGTTTGCATTAAGTAGGAGAAAATACAAACAGATGCACAGGACATGATTCAGCTCAGGTGCAAACAGAAGGTGACTCAGTAGGGGACAGATATTTCCACTTGCTAAAGATGTAACTCAATTTCTCCGGCCTGTGCCAGAAGCATCCCAATTAAGGAGGGGTTATTTCTTGGACTTGCAACTCTGTAAAAGAAGAATTAACTGATAAGATTAAGTCTGCTGTACTTTTCCTTTCCTTTTAAACTCTTTAGAGTGCACTTAATGCTCAAAAAGTGTTGGATGTGAGTCCTCTTCTTTTACTAATGGGAACAAAAAGGCAAGAGGGTTGTAAGATTGCTGCAATGTGCTGCCAGTGTGTATCATTTCTGCTAGGGAGGGATGGCTTCCAGGGATGACAGGAGAGATTCAGCCACTGCCAACTCTCTCAGCCTGGAAACATGAATGCAGCTTGTGCTATCACAGTGGTGAATTTGTGATTCGGCCTCCTGGTATGACTGAGAACTCTTCCGATGAACAAAAATTCCCATGGATTTTACAGGAGTACCTAAAACTATCAGAGAACGGTTCTTATAGCTGCTTGTGTTAAGAGTGGGGTGACCCAGAGACAACACCCTTCTTATCACATCCTGCTGGGATTTTAAACATCAAGAATCATGGGCACAATGACACAGACTATGCAAAAAGAGTGTATAGAGAGCTCTCTCTAAACTGAGTTTTGAAGGCGAATAAGAACTTTGTAAGTACACTGCTACATTCAAACTGGGGTTTTTTAGGCGCTTTGGCTTGTGACTGTATTAAAAACTGGATGCAGACTCATCTTGGGTGATGTCTTCATATTTTCTATAGCTTCAGTTCCAAACCCACTGATGAAGTGGTATCACTAATGTGAGCACTAGGAATACTCAGTCCTTTTAACGGACTTGGAGAGGTGACCCTTTGTTTTTAACACTGCTGACCATTTTATTGTCCTCCTGTGTTGCCACTCCCAGTGAGGCAGCACAGTAAGAGCCATGGTAAATTGTTGGGCAAAAAAAGTTATCTGGGGTAGATATGGCCTTAGAACAGCATTTAAGAAATTAAAAAAGCCCAAAGGAAAACAGACGAGCAGGGTTAGGATAGAGAGGCACATCTGTGCTAGCTGATTGAACCAATTCTGAAATTTGTTGAAGTGGGAAATCAAGTAAATATGTGATAATGTGTGTAACTGCAAGAGAGGAGTGCCCCTTAAACAGGAGGTCCTAAATATAGCTATATGTAAGGGTTGTGCTTAAGTGTCAATAAGCACACTACGTCTTAGTTAGTGTTAGAACTTTGAACTCTTTCAAGTGAAGATACTACGGAATGAGTGTGATCAGGTAAACTTCAGTAGATGGAGACAGAATGATTAAAAAGGCATCTTTTTGAGTTACCTGGACAGGGCACTCCCATAAATGCTATCAGGAGTGAGTGCCTCAGGCAAATCAGAGGCTGGGGACTGAGCATCTTCCCACTTGCTCAGGGCTCTGCACTGAGTCCCAAACACCACTGAGGCTGTCGTGGCACAAGGCAAGATCTGACTGACCTGGCAGGGGCAGAGGAAAAGTGACAAACAACAGCAGACTGGTAACATCCTGAGTTGCCCTGACCGTCACTGTGATGACTGTGTTCCCAGAAACTTGGCCATGACTCAAAGTCCAGTAGAGCTGTGACCTAAATCCAATGGTACAGATGTTTCTTACATGTTAGTAGTGAAAAAGTTGTGAAGGAGTGATTTCTTTCCTTTATAGAACAAAGTACAACTAAGTTTTCTCATTGCTGTGTAGCTTCATACCTTGTTTTCAAGCCTATCCTTTTTGCCCATTGTTCTAGAAAGTACTGGATGAATGCCAAAACCTGAGATCCTGCCAACTCCTTGTCAATAGTCGGGTTTTTGGACCTGATCTATGTCCAGGGACCACTAAATTCCTCCTTGTCTCCTTTAAATGCAAACCTAGTAAGTAATCCACATCAGGCAAATGTGTCTTTGTGTGTGTTTTGACGTTTGTTTTGGTTAAAATGCCACTGCACAAGGCTTTGCATAAATCTGTGTGAAGTTTTGAGACTCTTAGATTAATAGCAGATTGTTTTTTTTCTACTTCACCTTAGCTCTCCATTGTGTTTGCAGCTTCAGTGCGCTTGTTGCCAGCTTAATGAGCAGCGTAGTTTGACAGAGTCAGATGTCAGACATCAGGCTAGAAAGAAAACGTATTTTGGAAATGATTTTTACAGCGCTCCAATGATAATGTTGTATTAGAAAGACAGAGCTAAACACAAAAACAGATGCTTGGGTGAAGGATCCAAATGATGAAGAAGATACCATAATAAGAAATATGCAAAAATGCTGAAGGAGATAGGACCAAAGCTATCAAAGATTCTCTGTTACGACCTCCCATGTATAGAATAATGGCTGGAGGTTGCAAATGTATGGCTAGCTTTATTACAGAATTTCATTATAGAATAGCCTGTATTCTGTGCAGGTAGTTGATATTAATATTTACAGGGACAAATCCTGCCTCAAAGAGAATGCACTTTGTGAGCATGGGGGAAGTGTAAGAAAGATTAAGACAATCATCATGAGGTTTCATTTATCAGTGTTTTTAAACTATTTTTTTTATTGCTATTCCATATAAGAACAATAGCCCAGGGGCTCAGCTTTTTTGGCAGCTAACCTCCAGTGTGGCTGAAATGGGTCCCAAAGAAAATAGTTGAATGATGATTTATGGGTAGCTCTACCAGCCAACTCAGAAATACCATCCCACATCTAAAGGAGAAAGCACAAAAGGTATTTTCTTTAATCAAAGCATTAAGATAGTTATCATAGGTGGAATAGGAACAATTCCACCAATTTATGCGGAGTATTGAAGTCAGAGCAGAGATACAGGAATGGAGTAGGCAAATGTTACCTTTGGCAAAGCACTGACACAGGAACTCCCAGGAAGATTTATTGGGCCAATCATCAGGGGAAAAAGAAGTCTGAAATGTAAAATTTTAATGATCTGGTGGATTATCTTAATGGTTTATTTTTTTTTCATATTAAAATTACTGCATTATTAACAGGAGGTGGATTTTAATTTCATAGTTGTATCTGTGTTATTAGAAATCTCTTTTTACTAATCAAAAGTCGATTGGGATCCTGTTTGTTACTTCTATTAGCTGCTTTTCCCACTGGAAATGAGATACATCGAATACATAATATTCTTTGTGATTTGGATTTTTACAAAAGTAAGTCAAAAGTGTATTTAACACCAAGTGCTGCCTTAAGACTTGAGGAATAGTCCAGTTCCACTGCAAATTACATGATTTCATGTGACAGGAAATTTATATTTGTAGGTGAGATACCAGTATTGTTAGGTTTGGCTGTGGGAAATATCCTTACTCAGGAAATTATTCGAGTATAACTTTATTTTCAGTCTTCTTGCCTTCAAGTGGTCACTTAAGCAGTTGAATCTCTGAATCTCTTAGTTTTTCATCTATTTAGAAATATCATTACCTTTCTGCAGAGGTCTCTGTTATATTCTTACCCTTACCTTATACTACTTGTGGTTTTGTTTCTGTTGCTTGGTACTTCCATAGCCTCTGCAGCAGCCACAGAGCACAGCCATACAGACACAGAGCCCACTTTTAGGCTGTCAGCCTTTGGGTCAGGGCCTCTGACTGGTTTTCTGGGCATGATCCTCATGGGTGTACGGTATGGCAGGTGCTTCTGCAGAAGTAACAATCTGCAGCAGGTCAAATGGTTTTTAAAGTTGCTTTTTTTAGACCTATACTGGTGACTGCTGATGAGCTCAAATGGAAGAAACTGGAATATTACCAAGAACATTAACCCATTGTTTTTATCTGTTCTATTATAAATGAAACAATGATGTTTTCTTTACTGAATAGATAAGAGGGTTTTCTCTCTCCAGTTCCCCCAGCACCAACACACACACTCCACTCACAGGGATACCACTCAGTAACAATAAGGTTTCCCTTTTCTCCTGCTCAGCTCAGGAGCCTCCTTTTCCTGTTTTCACATTTTGAAGGACAAAAAACCGGAGCAGAATAAATTCTTCTCGGTGGTCTTATCTGCACTAAAATGTTTGACACCATACCTAGACCAGGGAAGAACTGAGCAGTAAAAAGCTGCAACCAGAGCAGCTGATAGACCAGCAATAGACCTCCTTGGCCAGATGTCCAGTTTTAACCAGTTCCCTAGGACGGATAAGCAGTGCTGTCTGGAAGTTGATCTCACTGGCTTCCCACCTCTGTGCCGAGAGTGCTGCCAGTGTGCCTGTGCCAGCTGAGAAAGGGAGGGGGTGTATTTTTCTCAGGCTCCTGATTCACATTGCTTTGTCAGCAAAATGAGCCCGTGCTGGATAGTCACACCCAGGGAAACCCACTGACCTTGGTGGAGTCAAGCAAATATAGCTGAGAGAACTGTCTGGCTCAGGATGCGTAGCCCGTCCCCATGCCTTTGTGCCTCCCATTCTTCAGCACTTGCTCAGTGCTGTATGCAGTGGCACTGAGTGATGCTGGCCATCCCCATGATTGATGAGTGATTGGAGGCTCTCAGCACTCAGGCGGGCATCTGAAGTAGGCATAGAATGCAACATTGTCCTGGGGAGAGACAAAAGGGAAGGATGAGGCTTCCTCTTCTGAGCAGTGGTGGAAAGCAAGCCAGGACATTGGGCAGGAAGGGGGGGAGGCTGTTCTACTGGGAGAGATTGGCAAAAGTTAACTTTTTAATTCCATTCAAAGAGGAGCTGGAGGCTTTAGATAGTCATATGGGAGCAATTCAGCCAGAGGAAACACTCGCTTTGCTATAGGCTTTGTCTCTGGTTGTGATAGTACCGCCATAGCATTCACAACAAAACTTGCAGAAAAGCTGTTTTCTGTCATGCTGCTATTTGCTGCTAACAGTCCAGCCAAGTAAATTGCCTCACGCTACCATATTGTTATTTGCTTCTATTTTAGCTGAATACAAAACCAAATCAGCATGTGAAAACCAGGAACTGAAACTCCACTGTCAAGAGTCCAAGTTCCTTATCATCTACTCTGCCACCTATGGCAGATGGGCACATGAGGAGAACATCTGTTCAACAGAAGTGGAGCGTGTACCCCCCTTTGGTATGTTTTTACATTGTTGATAGACCTTCTCCAAGCAGGTGCAGAGAGAAGGGTGAGAGAAAAATTCAGGTGCAAGAGCAATGGCATTTAAAAGCATCAATCATTGAAATATGAGAGATTATTTCTGAAAGTCAAACCAATTACCCAGTATGAGGGAGAAACATAGAGTAAGAAATATAGCAAACTAATAAACTTTCATGTAGTTAATCAGTACTTAGTATAATTAAAAAACTCTAGTGCTGTTGGTTATCTTGAACTGAGTTTGTGTACACTAAATATCAGCTGTTTGCCTCTCTTCTTCCTCCAGCTTCTGACAATGATTAGGCAACCTGAGTGTCATGACACCTTGTCTTTACCTTCTTCTCTGACCTCTGTTTCTGCCAGCTCTTCCTTGCCTTAAATGCAGACTGTAAGGATAGGGTGCGTAGACCAGGGTCTATTGCTTTAGATGCTATTGTATGTCCAGACTCTTAAGACTATGGCAATATACTAGAAAATTAAATGTGCCTGGGACTTCTCTCTGGCAGCAGCAGCAATGTCGTATGTATGTAGTGCTGAACTTGTACCCTCCAAAGCAGGATGACTGCATGCAAACTGCTTCTTGGAGCTGCTCCTTGGCCTGTGCTAGCTCCTCAGCTGTGATGGGGAGTTGCTGAGAGGATGCTGTTGGCCCAGACCAGACAGGGACCAGACTTACGAGAGTGGAGCCCTGTGTTGCAGTGCCAGAAACATGCCCTCTCACTGCTGATTACTAGTAGAGATGCATCCCTTTATATATTAATATCAATGCCACTATATTAGTAATTAATATAACAAGAGTCTATTAACGTTGCTATAATATTAATATTACTTAGGTCAGACTGTGAACACATCCAAGAACAGACTGTTCCCTTTTGAATAGGTAGAAGAACCCAAACCATCATAGGTAGTTGTTTGGTCTACATCAGTAACCAGTCACTGACTTCACTGTATAGTCTCAGTAGGGTATGATTAACGACTTATGACTTTTTGCCACTAAATATCTAAATTCATAGTAGTATGTTGTTGTGAGGGTGCTTGATGCTTGTATGAATATGTTCAGTGGCTGACACTGGAGGTGTACGTTTTCATGCCATGAAGAAGAACAGCACAAGATATGTATGCTGTTTAAATCCCTCAATACGACAGAGGGAAGGGCTTATATTACTGATGCCAGCCCCTTTCTGAATGTTAGTCCTAGAAAACATGTTAAAAGTGAAATCTGTAAGAAGCATCTCTGAACATCAAGAAGAGATCTATAATGATCAGTAGTCTTAAAAGCCGTTTGTCTGCAAACCAGTCTTTCTATTTAGTTATATTTAGTTATAGTAGTGAAGGGGAAAGGGACCTGAGGGTCCTGGTGGATAGGAGGATGACCATGAGCCACCACTGTGCCCTTGTGGCCAAGAAGGCCAATGGCATCCTAGGGTGCATTAGAAAGGGTGTGGTTAGTCGGTCAAGAGAGGTTCTCCTCCCCCTTTACTCTGCCTTGGTCAGGCCGCATCTGGAATATTGTGTCCAGTTCTGGGCCCCTCAGTTCAAGAAGGACAGGGAATTGCTTGAAAGAGTCCAACGCAGAGCCACAAAGATGATTAAGGGAGTGGAGCATCTCCCTTATGAGCAGAGGCTGAGGGAGCTGGGTCTCTTTAGCTTGGAGAAGAGGAGACTGAGGGGTGACCTCATCAGTGTTTACAAATATGTAAAGGGTGAGTGTCAGGATGATGGAGCTAGGTTTTTTTCAGTGATGTCCAGTGACAGGACAAGGGGCAATGGGTGTAAACTGGAGCATAGGAGGTTCCATGTGAACATCAGGAAAAATTTCTTTACTGTGAGAGTGACAGAGCACTGGAACAGGTTGCCAAGGGGGGTTGTGGAGTCTCCTACATTGGAGATATTCAAGGCCCGCCTGGACAAGTTCCTGAGTGATGTACTCTAGGTTACCCTGCTCTTGCAGGGGGGTTGGACTAGATGATCTTTTGAGGTCCCTTCCAACCCTTGGGATTCTGTGATACAGATACTATTAAAACTGTATTGGCTGAAAGTTCTTAATCTGCTCTTAGATAAGAATCCATTTAAAATTGCCAAAACTATGTTTCACGTTAGCTATATTGCATGGTCCTTCACACAGACTTTAGCTCTGCCTAGCTGCTGTTCTGTGGAGGAAGCATTTTAGCAGGTTTCTGACAGACCCATACATCTTTCGTAATGGTGGTATTAGTGTATATATAATGTAAGACAGAGCAGAGATAGCTCAGTTGAACAGGGGAAGTTTAGATTGGATATAAGGAAGAAGTTCTTTATTGTGAGGGTGGTGAGACACTGGAATGGGTTGCCCAGGGAAGTTGTGAATGCTCCATCCCTGGCAGTGTTCAAGGCCAGGTTGAACAGAACCTTGGGCTATATGGTTTAGTGTGAGGTGTCCCTGCCCATGGCAGGGGGGTTGAAACTAGATGATCTTAAGGTCCTTTTCATACGTAGCTATTCTATGAAAGGCTGCTGTCATGCTTATTTCTTGGGCTTCATTCGTCTCTGGAAATCACTCACTTGCCTCTAATGTCAGCACTTAGAGTTCACAGATCAGAATGCTGGAAACCCTTCATACTGGATAAAGTTTCCCAGTATAAACAGAGAAAGAATTTGCAACAGTAAAAAACTCTCTGCTGTGTCCCCCTGCATACGAGCTTGAGCAACACCCTGGCTGTTGCTGGTTTTGTGTTCCATAAAGTAACATAAAACTGTGGTAATTGGAGAGAGTATAAAACCTGAGGCAAACACAAGATGGATCTGCAGAAGGTGGATAGCACCTATGTGGCTTGGGAGTACACATTCAGTTATCACAGAAGACTTAGCACATAGGAGCCAAATCCAGTTGACACCAGATCTGTCATCTCAAGCTTAAATCTTAGTTATGTGGTTATTTAAGCACATACAGATGTGAGCAGGTGCGTGACTGGACTTTTAAAATGCCTGGGTACCTTCCTCTCAGGAAAGCAATGAATGTCAATGTGATTTTCATGATTTGAGACAATTTAGAAAGCTTACTGAAGCTGCTCTTAATTCCTGAATCAGAGCCCATGTACTCGCATATGTTTGCACCAAAACCTAAATCTTCTCCAACACACATCCATTATTGTTTCTATCCATGTTTGTGCATCTCAGCCTAATGGCAGTGCTTGAGCATTTCCATTTCTTTCACTGCATCACAGAGAAATTGGGGTGTTTTTAGTACTAAGAGAAGTCATCTGCAGGTCATAATGAAAAGTATAGGAAGTCTCTGTTGAGCTCAGGGGTTTTGCTACAATCCATAATTGATATGGTCTTGCTGGGAGTACTGAGTGTTCAGTTAATTGTGCCTCCAGAGCTTGGTGACCGCATTTGACCTCCTTCAACGGCAAGACAGGAAAATGTAAAATTTCTTTAGTATAAAGGCTCTTCTCCATATTGGAAATAGAGTATATAAATCCACCTCTGGTATTGATGATACCTGTGTGGCCTTGTAGGATCCTGAGCCTTAGCTCAACATCTAGCATGACTGCCTCCCCTTAGAAGTAGTTCTCTGAGGCAGTTTAATAATGTAAAGTAGGTGCCATTTTCAATACAGAGAAAGAAGAGCAGTGGCACTGAGGTGTCACCCCTGCTAGGTAAAGCCTTTACAGTAAAGTTGTCCTATGATCTGGTTACAGGAAACATACATTCAAGTCCCTGTTCTGATTCAGATAAAGAGAAGATTTGAATCTGGGTAAAGATCTGAACTGCTGAGCACAAGAACATTTCTAACCTGTACTTTAACTGATAAGACGGTCCCAAGGCTTACACCTAATTATATGTGTAACTTGCACCTTTCAGTTCAAAATGTCTCTTGCTTGTTAAAAACAGCCAGAAACAAAAGGCTGTGCTTAGGACAACTCCTCTTGCTCAATGCAGTTGGGAGAGGGAGGGTTTGTCAAAGAATGTGAAATTTCCACATAAGATCACTAGAAAACTTCCCTGCTTTTTTATCACTTTCACAGTTGAATTTAAATGTGGTATTTTCATGTCTCTGGTCTTGCTCTCCAGCTTGTCATCAGGGCCACTCATTCTAGTGAGTTGCCTGCTTCAAAGAACAGTGGGTAAAATCTTGCCTCCAGGCATTTTTTAGGATATTTTGCCTTCAGGAAAAGTTTCTTCTGCAAAGCAAGCTCCTAGCCCAAGTAACAGAGCTCATTGAAGCACAGGGAATGATTTCCATTATAATATCAATGGATCATTGCAGAAAAATAGAAAACTCCAAGCAGTGTCCCGCTTCAGCAGCTGTTCAAATGACTGGAACTGTTAAGACTGTACAGTATTTACAGAAAGTAACTTCCTTGTTTTATAAGATTATAAAAAGCTTCACAACAAAACTAACACTTTTATGGGTGCAGTTTTGTAACAGATGGTTCTGCTTAGAGGAATCTATTGTGCCCAGCATCAAAACAGGAGACCGTAGCAGTTTGTTCCTGTGTGAGTGGTTGCCTTTTGTAAACATTATCTCCTTTGTATTTGTACTAACATGTGCATGAGGAAAGAGAAAAAGTATTAGCCAAAAGAAGTTAAAGAGTTGTGCCAGAACAGGTTACCATAGGGAGTATAAGGAAGATTCAGGTCAACAAACACTTCTCAAATCATAAATTACTCTTGTTAATACATGAAAGTACTTGAACAAAGGCTTGGTAGTGGGTCTCCTCTAGCTGCAACTTGCAAGCTAGAATGCAAAAATATCCTTCCCAGAAATTTCACCTGGATGTGCATTGGCTGGTCAGATGTGCATTCCCTCAAGCACTAATGACTAGCAAAGCCCTGAATTACTTATCTTCATTTCTGGAAGATAGGGTCCTTTCCAACACAGCCCTCTCTTTCACCTGTTCCAACTTTTGGGAGGTTGAGAGGGGAGGTGGAGAATTCAGGCAGTATCATCACATCTTGCATAACATACGCTGGGGCTGGGTTCTGTCCTAATCCCC